AGGAAGAAAGAAAGAAAGAAAGAAAGAAAGAAAGAAAGAAAGAAAGAAAGAAAGAAAGAAAGAAAGAAAGAAAGAAAGAAAGAAAGAAAGAAAAGGGATGAAATAGGCAGAGTCAGAGAATCAAAGAATTAATAGAATTAGAAGGGGCCTCCAAAGGCCATCCAGTCCACCCCCCTGCTCAGTTCAGGAATCCCAATCTAAGCAGATCTGACCGAGGATGGTCCATTTTTTCTCTTAAACACCTCCCGGGTTGGAGGACTTACCATTTCCCAAGGTCATGGGTTCCATTGTTGTACTGCTCTAACAGTTAGGAAGTTTTATTTATTTTATTTATTTACAAAATTTATATGCCGCCCACACTACCCAAAGGTCTCTGGGCGGCTTACAACATTTAAAATTACAATAAAATTTAGAACAATTAAAATACAATTATCCTGGTCTTCGGGCTTCCTGCCTCTCGAGTCCATTAGGACACAGGAGAGAAAGAGAGAAGGAACGAAAGGGGGTGACCAGGAGAAAGCAAAACAGGAGGCGTGGCGGAGAGAAAGGGAAGAATCAGAGGGTGGCAGAGAGAGAGAGCGAGAGAGAGAAAGCAAGTGGATGATCCTTGGGAAGTGGATGATCCTCGGTGGTGTTCGTTCTCCCATCTCACGCTGTTGAAAATCCTCTCTGTGTGTGTGTATGAGGAAAACAACTTTTCCCTAGCTCGGGTCTAGGGAGAAAGATGTCGCCATGCGGAGGCAGCTGTGGTAAGGGTTAAGGGGTGTCAGGTGGCCTGTGGGTCTGAAAGCCAAGATGAGGGAGGGGGGCAACACTGTATTTGGGAGGTTGGCCTGTGTGTAACCCTCTGCTTGACCCTCTTTGCTTGAATCTCTGCTTCCCCTCTGTCTCTCTCTTCCCCCCCCCCCACAAACCAGGAGAACAAGCTGAAGTTTGCAGCCTACCTGGAGAAGGAGTACAAGGTGAAAATCAACCCAAACTCCCTGTTCGACATCCAGGTGAAGAGGATCCATGAGTACAAGCGGCAGCTGCTCAACTGCCTTCACGTCATCACCTTGTACAACCGTGAGTGGTCACCCGTCTGGCCATTTGGCTTCTTCACGCGGGGCCCTTAGCGCAGGGGTCCCCAACTTTGCCAGCCTACCTGGAGAAGGAGTACAAGGTGAAAATCAACCCAAACTCCCTGTTCGACATCCAGGTGAAGAGGATCCATGAGTACAAGCGGCAGCTGCTCAACTGCCTTCACGTCATCACCTTGTACAACCGTGAGTGGTCACCCGTCTGGCCATTTGGCTTCTTCACGCGGGGCCCTTAGCGCAGGGGTCCCCAACTTTGCCGCCTCCAGATGTTTTTGGCATTCAACTCCCAGAAGTCC